AGCCGGCCCTGCCCATCCGTCACTCACCGCCCCCCCCCCCACGCAGGAAGCGCGGCGGAGGAAGGCACGCGAGCCCCCGGCTCACCACGCCCCCTCCCACCGCTGCCCGTCGGGCGCGTACCTTCGTCGCTGGGCGCATCCCGGCCTCCGAGAAGGGCTGGTCTCCCCCAACCCCCCGGCTCCCGTTCTCCCACCCCCACTCCCGTGAGCGTCAGCGCCCGGCAACCGCCTCGGCAGCGACTCACGTGGGTCAGGCTCCCACAACCTACACGCCAGCTACCGGCCCCAGCAGGCCTACGTCATCGTCCAGCGACAAAACCTCGGAAGCGACGGGCGGGGAAAAAGAGGTGGGGGGGCGGAAAAGAGAGAGAGAGAGAGAGAGAGAGAGAGATGGGTGTTCTGCGCAGGCGTTCGTGCGCAAGCGAAAGGGAGGGAGGAGGAGCTCGGAATCGGTAGTGGGCGGGGCGGTAAAGAAAGAACAAACTGAGGAAGCGCTGCCGTCATTTCTCTCATAGAAAAGAGGAAGCAAGGCGCATGCGCGAGCAAATCTGTCTTTTGGAGGGTAAAGTACGGGTACACCTGCGCGATTGATTTCTCGTTGCTAAGATACAACCGGTTCTTCTCCCTTTCGGGTGTCCAATAAGAAAACGGGAAAGAATAGAGGGGAAGCCCCGCCCCTGTTTGTGGGCGGAGCATTCTGCTTATGCGCTAAAGGATTCTTAGTTACGTGTTTATGTTGAATGTCTGAAAGAGGGTGGTGCATTTATTTGAGCGTTAGAAGAGGGAGTTTGTGGATTCACATGAAGGCATAAGCATGCAGTATTGTAGAAACATTTGAACTCTGCTTATTAGAGTGGAAATAACTTCTGAGGGCATTGTTTTTTTAAACATGAAGATTGGATCTTAATATTAAGTTAAACATTAAAGTCCTTATTTGACCTCAAGCTTGAGACTTGGCAGCCACTCTCAGCCCAACCTACCTATTGGGATATCAATTCAACCAGTAAATAAATAAGTACTCTTGAAATGAAGTCAGAAATATTGCAAGCATGACACCCCATTAGAAGTACAAATATTATCCCTGAGCACTTAATTTTTCTCAAAATACAGTTTGTTTCAGGGGACATTTTTAAGGAAGGACAAGTGCCGGGAACTTCACTTGTTTCCAATTTCCTATGAAATAGTGAAAAATGTATCTGAAATACAGGAAAAGGACAGCTGGTTTGTATTAGTACAAGGACTGTAGTGGTTATGATGTATGTTTGCCTGTTCGTTTCTGATCATTCACCCAAAGCAGCATTTAGACTTCGACTTAGAAACCTAGAATAACTTTATTGTCATTTTGAATGTACACTAATAGGCATCCCTTCGTCGCGAGGCCGCTTCTACCGGCCGATTGAAGGGGCTGGTGACTGCATTTGGGGAGCTTCCATCGCCCGAAAGAGACTGCCTAAAGGCGAGGGGACACGGGCAGTCACGCCTCGCCCTGAAGCAGCTGGGGACTCTGCCTTCAAGGGAGCTTTCGTCTGCCGATAGAAGCGGCCTCGTGGCGAGGGGAGTGTGTATGTGTGTGCGCTCACCCCTAGGCCGCTTCTACCATCCGATCGAAGTGGCTGGTGACTGCATTTGGGGAGCTTCCATTGCCAGAAAGAGACTGCCTAAAGGCGAGGGGACACGGGCAGCCATGCCACGCCCTGAAGCAGCTGGGAACTCTGCCTTCTCGCGGCAAGGTCCATGGGTATGGGCCTCTCAAAGTGGGGGAGGAAATTAAGTCATCCCCAAAAAGACAGCCTAGTCGTTTTTTCAGGGGTCAAAAAAAAATAAGGCCCAGCCTTATTTTGTGAGAAACATGGTAGTAATACTATTGCTAAATTTGCAGATGATACAACAGTGGTGGGACTCATCTCCAGGGGGGATGAGTCTGCTGGATGAGTCTGCCTACCGAGATGAGGTGGACCGGTTGCTTTCGTGGTGTGGAGACAATAACTTGGTCCTCAACACCAGTAAGACCAAGTAGTTTATAGTGGATTACAGAAGGAACACACCAGACATCCAGCCCTTACTTATCAATGGAGACCAAGTGGAGCAAATGGCCAGTTTTAGGTTTCTGGGTGTTACCCTAAAAGAGGACCTGACCTAGGGTGCTCACATTGCAGCACTGGTCAAAAGGGCCAGCAGAGATTCTACTACCTGAAACTTCTCAGAAAACAATAACTGAATGAAAAACTGCTGGTGACCATCTACCGCTGCACAATAGAGAGTATCTTAACTTACTGCACCTCTGTATGGTTTTCCAATTGCACCGTGGCAGATAGGGAAGCACTCCAGAGGGCTAACATTAAGATCATTGGTTGCCCTCTCCCCTCTTCGCAAGAGCTTTATAGCTCCCACTGCCTTAAGAAACTCCAAAACCTTCTCAAAGATCCATCTCATCCTGCGCACCCTTTTTTTTTTGAACTGTTACCATCTGGCAGGTGGTACAGGATAATAAAAACAAGGACAAATAGGCTGAAAAACAGCTTCTATCCTAGGGCAGTAGCTCTTTTGAATTCTACTGTATAGTGCAGTGTTGGTGTGGTGTCAGGGTTTTCAATTCATGTGAGGAGGGTGAAAGATGTGTGTTTTTGTTTATTTTCATGGTCATGATCTGCACTGAAGATGGTGTTTGATTTCGTTGTACGAGGTGCAATGACAATAAAGTAAACTAAACTAAACTAAACTAGTTCAATTTCACTCACTAAGACTTGGTTCCAGGTCAAGGAAACAAAAAAAGGAAGATTGTCGAATATTTCATCAAATAGGGGCGATTTGTGCAAGTATTTAGAATTCACACAGGTGACCTCCTGCAGATATTTATTAACAAATTAATGAACATTATTGATTGATCAGTTAACAAATTCTTATTAACACGTTAATAGAGTTATTCATTCTTATTAGCTTTCCTTTTATTTTTCTTGTTTAAGCGATGTCATTTCACATTCATGACTTTATATCCCTCTTCCAAAAGAAGAACATAAAAATGTTGAATCCCCATTTCAGAGTTTTATGCACAGACCTGGTTGGGAATGCTTTCAGTCAAATATATTTATGGATCCTTTTCGGATAGTTGCTTTTCTTGTCAGTTGGCCAACTTACTCCGTCTAGGGATGGGTTAGGGTTACGGTGGGGAAGGGTTTCCTGGGAAGGTTGAGTGGAGCACTACAGGAGTGTGCGCCAAGAGCGCCCAAATTCAAAGCCGCAAAGAAAGAATTACAATGGGAACATAAACTGCAAGAAGCAGGAACATGGGAAAGGTCAACACAATGAAAGATTATGAGAAATCAACTGCTCCAGTGCTTCTCAGATAAAAACCATATGGTATCCTGGGGTCCTGGGAGATTTCAAGGGGCCCACAGGTGAGAAACATTTTGGCGGCCATGACGTGTACCAAAAGGCCACGGGAAAACAAGGTCTGTGTAGATAGCCCTTGACTTAACCTTAATGGAACCTGCCTATCATGGTCCCAAGCCATGGAGGTTTTAAATTGGGTCAACCCCACGACACCCCGATTTTACAATCTTTTTGCAGCAATTGTTAAGTGAACACTGCAGCTGTTAAGCAAAGCAATGATTCACTGTGGATCGCTTCTGTCATAAAACAGGTCAATGTGAACACAAGACACTGCCAACAGTCATAAATGCAGGCTGGTTGCCAAGCGCCCAACATACAGTCATGTGACTGGAGTCAGAGAAGCCATCGGAACTTCAGAACCATTGCTGGTATTTAACACCAGATAAGTTATCTAATAGGTATAAAGGTATGTCCAATGAATGTTGGAAGTGTAAAAGCAAAGAAGGGACTTTTTATTATCTACGGTGGAATGAGATAAAGCAAAAAAATTGGAGTATGATTCATATTTTAATGCAATTTCTTTTTTGTAAAAAATGAAGATAAAAATGAAACCAGAACTTTTTCTTTTGGGCCTTGTAGAAAAAGAACTGGAGAAAAAAATTGGAACTTTGTTACTATTTATGTTGATAGGAGCAAGACTATTGTATGTACAAAAATGGAAGGACACTTTGATTCCTACCCTGGGAGAATGGTTGCAGAAGTTGATGGAATTGGCTGAAATAGCAAAACTGACTACTTTGATTAAGGAAAAAAACAAATAGTTTTGTTTCCTCATGGAAACTGCTTCTCAATTTCGTGTTCGATGTGGAAAAGAATGACACACTGACTTCAGGTTTTACAGTTTTAGACTGATAGATCTTTATAGAAGTGGCTTCTTCAAAAAGTTGTGATTTGATGCAAATGCCTCATTTTACTGTAACAGGGAGTCGGAAGTCATTGCTTC